TAATTGAAAGACAAATGTAGTTTTTACTCCACTACATTTATATACAGCTCTTGTTAGTTTACATATTAAGATTTCCCATGAAACACCTACGATGAGCCGATGAAATATGAGGCATTATTATATATTAAACTAGTAGTGTAGTAAATGTGAGCTGAAACAATAAGTCGATTAATCGATTTAGTCGGTCGACAGAAAAAGGAACTATTTTGATAAGGGATGAGTCCTTTAATTCATTTTTACCGCAAAAACAGTTCCTTTCCTGTTTCTGAAATGACAGACTAACATGTTTGGACTGTTGGTTAAAACAAGCTATTTAAAGATGTCACTCTGGGGACTTCTAACGGACATTTCTCACTATTTATTGACATTTTGGGACCAAACAATGAATCGAGTAATTTAAGAGTTAATGGACCAATCAGTAATGAGCCCAATCATTAGTGGCAATACATACATTTGAGTTTCAGTACTTCTCCAGCGTGGTTTTACTTTGACTTCAGTAAAGAATCTTAACGTTTCCTCCACGACTTGGCTGAGCAACATTTTTGGTAATCCATGAATAGATTCCGTTTTTCTGTTGAGCCCACGAGGTCTGCGTGTTCACACCGAGCAATAATCACATCTATTGTCTCACACGAGACCTGAAAGGGCTCCATTTGTATTCTCTGCGTTTCCTCCAGTCTATCACTTCCCTTGTGTCGAAATGAACTGGCTGAATGAAGCTTTGCGTCCCTTCCTCTTTAATGCGATACGGGTGGTATTGATTGACCCCTCGATCTCTCGACCTTCCCGATGTCACTGCGACGCCGGAGCTTTGCAGCCAGAAACCCATTCCCCCCCCCCCCTCTGCCTCAGTTCTAACAAATTACGCTGAAATAACACACAAGCTGCCTAATCTGATATTCATTCCTTTCTTATACAGCCCTGCTTTTCCAAAGTTGACTAAGGCCACATTATTTAGGCATTAAGGTAGTGTGATAAGGGAATTAGGCTGGTCATTAATCGTTTACACGTCAAATGCAGCAGAGCAGCTCGGGGAGGTGATTTAGCGAGGCAAAGCCATATAGCCCTTGTTAATCCACCTCTCACACGTTTTAATTGGAAGAGGCTTCCTGGATAGGAAATTTATGAATGGGTTTAAGGCCATTTCTTCCTTAAAGCCATCATTTATTTCATATTGTTAATAGGAGCTTTAACACTTTATCCACACGGAGATGTATTTTTCCCCTCTTTCATTCAGCTATTGTCTTTCCTCACTTGCTGTTTAATTGCCACAGTGTTTCTGTGGAGCCCGTGCTGCTCATAAAGACTTCCTAATGCTCCTTTTCTTTGTCAAACACCTCCGAAATGACGCAACGGAACAGACATGCACATGACAACAGAGTGTGAAACTGTCATTAAGATAGACTTGCTTTATCTTGTGTATGGCTTATACAGCAGCAATGCAGAGTTTTTTTTTTTTGGTATTAAGGCTCCATGTTTGGGTCTCCACTTGAATCTCCATGACGACCCAAACATGAATGAACAGAAAACGGTACTATTGACTTAACCCTCCTCGTGGCCCTAAGCTGCTGCTGCCGCAGTGCCAGCTTTGTGCACCGTGATTTTTTTCTTTGCCCTCAAATCTTCCAAAGGTCAGAGTATTAATCCTCTGAATAAACCTTGTTTTTAACGGGGCTGTGCCCAGGCCACACGAGAGAGAGAGAGAGAGAGAGAGACACACACAAGGCACAGCAACACGGCTGTGATGGACACCTAATTGTATATTAACACGTGGTGGAGTGGGAAGAATTTCCTTTTTTTAGGAGCCACGTAAACAAAGAACGCATGAGGTTTCCCGTCTCCTGCTTTGTGCTTTCATTCTTATTTCTCCCCCCAGCCTCTGATGTGAAAGGATTTGGCACTAAGATGCACGCGAAGGGGAGGCGGGGGACGGGGGGACGGATGAAAAAAAAATCCAGAAAAGTGGATCAAAAAAAAAGTAAATGAAAAATAATGTCATATTACTGAAAATATGAGAGGCTAATTTGTGCCGACTTTTTGCTAATTTTGTTCTCGCCACAGAAAGAGGAGCCGTCACCTGCTCGGCGCCACAGCGCTGACAGTGCCAGTGATCCATGAAATAAGCTGCCGCTGGCTTTGTTCAGATAAGAATGAACAAATCTGCACAATGTACTGCTCTCGGAATCTCATTTTCATACTTGCATGCAGGCTAAAAGAAATAAGCTGTTTGCAGGCTTGATTAATCAGACATTTGAGGGTTTTTTTTTTTTTGTCTCTTTGATCTGTTCTGTCGCCTAGGTAACTTGGTTGACATTAATGTTGAGCCCCAGTAAAGACAATCAGGGACTGGAGACGAAACTGATAAAAAAAAAGAAAAAAAAAAGGCAAAGACCTTTAATGCTTTAAATATAGTAAACGCTATGTTGTGAATTTAAAAAAGGGGGGAAATGAGGGGCACGGACGTGGGTTTTAATTTAGCTTTCGGAATGTTTAGGAAGGCGTGTTTTCCAGACCTTTTGCATTTCAAATGCAACCCCACAGGAGAGCAGGTTAATGTGGGTAATCCCGGTGTTGGAAAAAAGAAACGGCTCTGGCTGTAAATCTCCAAATGGAACCATTTAGCATCATGCAGCTTCATTTGATTTGCTCCCAGAATGAGCTAAAGTAGGGGTTTTATTTCCCAGCAGAGAGAGAGAGAGCGAGAGAGAGAGAGAGAGAGAGAGAGAGAGAGAGAGAGCTGCTCTCAGATTTGTCAACAATTTAATAAACGTCTGGCCTATAATCTCCGCGTGCATCGCAGACACTCGGAAGCATTTAGCACCTAAAGCACTCCCATCAAGGAGCAGGGGGGGAAAAAAACCCTGGTGTGGTTTTATCTGCTCGCAAATCTCCAGCAAAAATGTAAGAGCCATCAACCCGCTATAACTCTCTTTAAGAGGGGGAAACATGATTTGAGGAATTTAAAACCTATAAAATGGCAAAGAACTGGAGAGCTGTCATAGTATGTACGCTTCAGGTTATGCAGACGCTTTCACAAATCTTCCAGTGACTGTATAGATGAATGCCTTGAGGGCCCAGCCGGAGCCCAGTACTTGCAGCCAGCCGAAGCCCTTATCTTAAATCCGAGCAAAGTACCATTAATCTTTTTGAAAGACCTTTATGGCTTTTAATGTATCCCAAATTAGAACATTTTACACCCTTGGTTCCTGAAATATGGTGATAAAAAGCCTTTAGAGTTTAATTTTTCCTGCCTGCTCGCTCTGACCTGCTTAATCCCAGCATGCATTAGGAGATATTTTAGTTTCAGTCTTTCTAATAAAGTTTATCCCACTTAATTATAATTGAAACATTTTTTTTTTCCAGCAGGTCTTTCTTTTTTTTCTTTCTTTCTTTTTCTTTCTTTTCTCGAGTGGCGCAGTGGTGGCACATTTCTTCATTATCTTAAGACCCCCCCACCCCCACCCCCCTGATTGTACTCTGAATATTACAGAGAATTACCCAAAGGTTGGGTGAAATTGTTCCAAGTTGTTTATCAAAGTTTGCCTTTGCTTGAGTAATAAACCTATCTCAGGAGTGACAGAGGAGGCAGGCTGTCTCCCTTTGTTTCCGTGCTTCTGTGTGACTGGGGTTATTGGGATTATTCTGCTTCACAATACATACGTCCTCCACGGGATTTGAATGTTTGCCTCTTGCAGTCACGGTCATTCTCTCTTCACTTCTGATTTCCGGGACTGCCTGCAGTACTCCAAACACAAATACAAGTCTCTCTTACACTGGTGGCCATGAGGGTAAGAAAATGCCATTGCATGGTTTTTGAGGGGGGGGGGGGGAAATGGTAAAATGCTGAACCTTGTTTCACATTGCTTATTTATTCATTCCTTTATTTCATTTGCACATTAAACAAGAAAAAAAGAAAAGAAGAAGTAATCAAATAGAAAGAATGTGTGAGAGAGAGACTGTAAGCCAGGAGCTTTAAAATAGGACTTCCTCTTAAAACACCTCAAACAAAAGGCAAAATAGATCTGAATAATTTAAATAAAAGGGTGCTCCTGTAATTTATGGAGCTATGGAACACTTCACACATTATGCTGCTTCTCTTCACGTTTAGTTTTCATTGACTATTGCGCAAGACAGATTATAAACGGCTTGTTTCTAAAGAAAAATACAGGAAGTACTTCAGAAATCTAAATCTCAACTACTGGTTGTTTTCATTATTGATTAATCTGCCAATTATTTTTCCTTAATTTACCGTTTGGTCTCTAAAATAGTCTGAAGATAGCCTTCAGATTGCTTGTTTTTACTGACCAGCTGTCCGGAATTTATTTAAGAAGTTTAGTTAAGAAAACCAGCAGATATTGATATTTGAGAAGATGCTACTTTGGCCTTTTTTTTCTTGAACTAATGACGTAAATGATTAATCAGTTATCAACACTCTGTGTGTGTGTGTGAGTGTGTGTGTGTGTGTGTGTGTGTGGGGGGGGGGGGGTTTAAGCGTGTCTTGGAGAGGAACTACTTGTCGTAATTTTGCATTTGAAGAGTAAACAGTTATCAAACTGAACTTCCGAGTTGTTCAGGAGACAGTGAAAACAAAGCCAAACATGTATACAATAATTATATATGGCATTATATGCTCATTACACACGTACAATTCCCCGATATTACTGTTCACCTGTTCTACGTTTTATGTATATTTTCACATGTTGCTTCATGTTTAATGCATCGGTGTTAGTATACGTGATGTGCATATGTTCCTCTTATGCAAGAGTTACTTGGTGTGACGTACTGTATGTTAAACCCTTATCAGCCGTCCTAATGTAGAGCGTGTTCAGTTCCAGGGTTAGCAGGACAGCCTTCCTGTGTTCCTGTGTTGTGGAGCTCGGTGCGGAGGAGGCAGAGACGCTGACGACAAGCCGCCCTGTCACATCAGTCAGAAAGCTTCTTCTCGCCAAAGACTGATTCCCATTCTCTAACGGGCCTCTCCTCTGTCTGCCTCTAAATAGCTGGCCGTGAAAATCGCTCAAGCCGCTGATTGCCGTGACTTCGTGCGACACAAACAGGAAGAGGAAGCTTTGAGGGCAGCACAGAAAAGGAAGGACCAAATACCCTGGGGGTAGGACGTCTCTCTCTCTCTGTGTGTGTCTCTCTCTCTCTCACTCTCTCTCTCCCTCTCTCTCACTCTCTCTCTGTCCTCGTGTTTGTGTTTGCCATCACGTCTGCCACGTTTGGCACTCTGGGCTCAAGCACAGGTAGGATACAGCAACTGAAACCGGCATTAGCTGGACTTTGAACGATTACTCACGCAGAGATTGAAGTTGACAGCTGAAATGTATTCATAAAGGGTTCAGTCACTCAATGTTTTTTTTTTTTTTGCATTGCAGGTTTGAGGCTAAGAGGCGATGGGAAACCAAAAGCAACATGGGCTTCATGTGACAAACACGGAGAACGACTGCTGTTCAGCTTTGTTTTTTAAGTTAATTTGATAAAAGCAGTGTTTTTTTTTTGTTTTTTTAATGGTGAACTGATCCCGTTTCTTTTTATTCTCTTTGTATATTTTGAAGACTTGAGTGTGGGGGGGGGTAAGTCACGCAGTTGACTGAGGAAAAACCAATCCAGAGGGTACAAGAGAGAGAGAGAAAATTATGGAGCATTCAAATTAATTTCTAAGGCACCCATTGGTGTCTGCATTGTGTTATTTTTCATTACATTTCAGTGATTTGAGTGTTCTGCCCCCCCCCCCCCAAAATTAAATCTGGTGTACATTACTGGATGATGCGTTTATTTATTGCTGTAAAGTGGGTTAATCATGAAGGCGCTCCTTTTCTTCTTCCGAGGGAGAGAAAGGAAAGATTAGGGCCCTAATGCAATGTACAGGATAATGTGCGATAGGATTTGGGAGAAGAAAATGAAATTTGGCTGCTGTAAACAGTGTGTGAGCAGTTGTAAACTGGAAGTTGAGTGAACGTTTTGGGCGGGGAGAGAGGGAGGGGGGGGGCGAGACATGAAACAGAGGCTTTGCTGTTGGCCCTCACCCATGTTGGGAGACGAGCTATTGTTTCTCAGCCCGAACAACATCCCCGAGCCTACACTCGCTGCTCATTGAGCGATGAGCTCTTCAGCATCTGTAAACTCCTCGATTCCTCTCGCCGTCACTTTGATCTTTTCCGATCTTGCAGCGGTTGCCTCCGCAGCCGCTCGCGCTTCATCCAGATTCCAGGAAGTGTTAATGGCAAACAGCATGCAAAACATGCACGAGCATGATAATTACTTTTATTCATAATGCCTGCTTCTATGTTTTTTTTGTGTGTTTTTTCCCCCACAACCATAGAAAATGATTGCTCTGCTTCAAGGTAATGAGAATTAAAATTAATCCCACCTAAGTTGTTTGCATTGCACATTTTGGGCATTTTGTCCCCTGGTGAGGAGCAGCGTAGCTTTGCTGTGTAGGCTGAAACAATGAACTAAACATCAGAAATAAAAGTTTGTGGGCAATTCATGACACAATGAACTGAGCTGAACAAAGCTAGATATGACAAGAGCTCGCAAAACAAATGCTGAAATCTAAAAAACAAAAACAAAAGCCATCTTTTCCATCATTTCACATCCAAAGCGACTCACATGACTGTGTGTCTGAGCGGCTGAGAATTGGTGCTAATTAAACTATTAATTATCTCTGTAATGAGACGCCAGTTAAAACTGCGTTAAGCACATCAAAGGACAACGTGGGATTTCTTCACTTTGATGACTGCTATGAAAAATATATCTTGACTGAGGAGTGAGGGAACATCAGAGATGCTTCATTAACGGGACAGAAAGTAGTCGAATTTCAGAGCCTTCTGGAGCTTTGGGGTTTATGAGTCCGTTTCTTCTTTCTTCTTCACAGGTGTGTATTGCACATTCGACAACTTAAGAACTTTTCAAGAAGGTTTTCTTCAGTGTTACATTCATCATCTCAATGAAAGAACAAAAAGCATCTGAGATGTAGAAGCCATGTAGCCATTATTTTTCTTTTTTTTTTTTAAAGCTACTAGTTGTCGGCAAACATGGTTGAGCGCCGCATCGTATCAATAGCATCTCACTTTATTAATCTCTCGGAACACAGGACGGTGCCCTGAGCAGAGATGATTCTGCTTTTAAGCTGGAAAATCCACTTTCCCCTCATCGTCGTGGTGAGTCTGTTCCTGGAGGCCCATCTTAGCCCCCTGACCTGGGCTGATTTGTTGTGAAACGCAGAGACACACTCCTTGGGCACATGTCGAAGCCACTTCTAGGAAAAATGTTTGTTGTGTGGTGTAAGGGGGGAAGAGAGTGTAAAAAAAACAACAACAATCCCATTAAATGGTTGGAAAGCTGTTGTTGTATGAAAGGGAACATATGTTGGTGGTAACGCAACATCGGCACTATCACTTGCTGCTATCGCCGGCTAGAAGAGGATTAACTCCATCTCCGAGATGCAGCTGATAAAGACGAGCAACGCTGAAAACACACCTAACGGAGCGTGTACATCAGACGTGGCAGTGTTGCTTTGTGGTGTTTTTATTATAACATAATAGCTGCTATGGTGTGTTTTATCCCATAACTACTACTTGTTACACTTGCCATCGTTACATTTTCCACATGTTAATAAAGGTTTCAATCCTTATTTCATTTATAAAATGTTTTACCTTCATAAGGGTACCGTCGATTTTCAAGGGAACGTACTTTTCATGGAGGATCTTTTCCGCTTGTTCCCATCGGGAAACTAGTGTACGGTGGCTCTGAGGGGCAAAACACAACCGCATTAGATTCAACTTCTTAAAAAAAACAATGAACACGTTTCACAGAAAACACTGACAAATTATTTAGACAAACGGAACATTTACGAAAACACATTTTCGAAAACTATTTAGTTTTTTTTTAACATACTCAACCACATCATTAAATGTTTCATTACCAACATCATTGCAAAAAATATGTCGTGTTTGAAGTGTTCTTGTCAATGTTGTTGTGTTTTGCATCTCTAGGCCACCGTAGAAATGTCACTTTCCATATGTGATGTCGTGTAAGTCACGAGCCCATCTCAGTACACAAGGTATATTTGAATTCCTCTCAAACCAACGCATCGCATGAGCGACAGGCAGTGTGGATGTTGACATATTCCTCGGCTGATTTAATGACCTGTTTAATTCTGGCACGTCTGCAGCCCCCTCAGATGTTTCGCCATTTTAATTAGTGTAATCGTTGCTCTTCAAAAAAGGCCACAGGGTTGTTTAATGGGTCATGTTTGTCAAGATGCACAGAATTATAACACAAAAGATATGCCATTTAGTCAGCGCGACAGTCTCCCAGTGATTATGGGTGTCACAATTGATAATTAGAGGAAGGAGTGATTCATCTGAAAGCCAAAATGAAGCTCTGTGGTGTGAGGAAATTAGTTTGACAGTGTTTGGATGAGCGGTGTTTACACTGCAGTGCGGCGGTGTGGGAACACTTTACCACTCCGGTGTTAACTGAAGCAACGTGCACGCACTCGCTGCTGTTTCTGGATGGGGGGGGGGGGGGGGTCGGGGGGCGTTTCATGTCACATCTGGAACAGCGACTGGATATTTGCACTAATGGCAAAAACTTGTCATGAAATTATGAATGTGCGGTTTTGTTTCTGCAGGCTTTTGTCACATGATAAGCAGAGGTTATGGTTCCAATTTTTCAGGCAGCAAAGTACAAAGTGCTTCACACAGTTTCCCCCAGCTGTGGGAATTAGGTCAAGCTAACATTTACAATGTAATAAATGTAATGTTCAAATGCACACCCTGCGTAATTAAAAGCCATACTGTAGCATGCGGGTCACTCACACAACCCTCTTAATTGTTTCTTAGTTTGAAACTGCTGGGAAAGCATCTATTTTATCATTTAGCATAACTTATAGAACAAAAAAAAAAATGAAAATTAACTTTCAATTAATTTTTCTTCTTTTGCTATCGCGAAATAAAAACATTCCCGAGCACAAATATGCTGAGGGTGCACCCGTTATGCATTCATCTTCCCTCTGCAAACCACATACTGCATTTTATCTGAATGAATTATTAACCGCGTTAATGAATATTTCATTTTTTCTTTATGGAAGCATTTAACGGTCCCAACTGAGGTAATGGCATCTTAAGCGGTGACAAGTACCTGAAGAGAGAGGAGAGAATAGGTGAGCAACATATGGGGCTGTATTGAGATGTCCAGTCTTCATTTAAGACCTCCCCTTTCTGTTATAGTGGATAAACACGCCGATAGAACCTGCACTGATCTGGTTTTATTTCCACACACATGGACCTGAGATCCCTTTGTATCTTAAAGAATGGACCCAGCGTGGTCTCCAGCAGCCGGGGGGGATTTACGCTGAGCAAATGAATTGAATGGGTGTAATTAACATTACCTTGATTTGTCCCAGGAAAGACCTCGGTGAGTCTGGCTTGTGTGGTAATTTATTGCGGAGTTCCTATGAAGAACACTCGCCTACTGTGGAGCAGGTCATTACAAACACGGGCTTGATTAGAGAGGGGGAAGAAGCCGCTCCAGACTTGTTATCGATCGATTAATACTGAAGCTGTGCTGCAACAAGGACATTGAATTAATCCTTCGATGCAGAGGCCGTTTGAACCTAATGATCATGAATTGCTTTGCAATGTTTATTTAATTTTTTTATTTACCTGTTAATTTATTCATTTATTCTCAGGAACTCACATTTTTAAACTGTTGCCCCTGTGCTGGATGTTAAATTGTCCATTAAAACGACAAACAAAACACACAACATATAAAATTAGACCAGGAGAAAGAAAAACACAAACAACTGAACGGGATGAAAAGCTGCGAGGACTAAGGCAGCATCATGCAAAGTAGGACACGAAAGAAAAACATGACAATTATACTTATACTGCTTTCCAGACAGCTTTCAGCATCTTTTGCGCAGAGAAGATGACTTTCAGAGATTGTTTACCTCGACCTATAACAACATATTTTGAAGAGTTTTTACTACATGATAGTATGAATCATTTGAATCAAACACAGGCAAATATACTTAAAGTTTGCTTTAAGCTGATTGTTTACCATCTACAATGCTTCCATTGTTGTTTGAAAACACTCCAACTTTGACTCACGCTCAATCCTACTTGTTCTAGTAGGAGGTCGGAATGCTTCAAATTCCTATTGTCTTGAATGCAGCGTTAGCTAGGAAGCTACATGTGAAACAACCTCTGTACAGTTATGTGATTTAAAGTAGGCTAATAGTAACAGTAGATAGTTATAATGTATGAAACAATGATATATCTAGAGACAGCAATTTATGAAAATATACAGATAATACTTATTTACTGCGTATTACTTACCAATATGTATCAAAGCAGCTGAGGTAGTTCACAGTAAGCACCTCGTATACCTGATAGAAATAACTGATACGAATGAAAGGTTCCTCTAAGTTGCCTTCGAAAATGCATACGTGCATCCATGCATGCGTCATTTTTGCCGCACTTGTGCATCTCAGGGTTAAGAACCTTTGCAACATTAAATATTGGCGAGGAAACCAACTTTTTTCTTCATTTATTGTGTTTAAGTTGTAAGAGTTTCACCTGAACATCTTCCGAAAGCTTTAACACTGATCTAAGCCTCCAGGTTGACTCCAAATCTTCATTCACACACGGCCCCAATGTCGCCATGTAGGATGGTCGTCTGACAGTCAGGGCAGGTCCGCTGAGCTGGGACTCAATTTGTGTCCAAACCCCAAGAAACTCCAAACTCTCCCAAGTAATTCCCTCTATTCCGACTCCTTAAAACCTTGTCTCGACACAAACAATAGCAACGCTTTGTCAAAGTGACTCTAAAACCTCTGCCAAGCATAATTTGTCATTTGAATGACAATGGACCACTTAGCTGCTTAAATTATTAAATTATTTCGGTGCTCTATCTGCTACTTGACTGTCTTTGTGTTGTAACGGCGGACGATCATTAACGCCACGAGGCGATGTGGTGCGCCCTTATCTCTGGCTCGGTCCTCAGAGTTCACTTTAGATAGAAGCTGCTCGGCCATGACGGCAACAACTTTTTGTTTTGTTTTTTTAATTCCAGGACTAGTCTCAGTCGTGACTTATTAGATTTATATGTAGCAGAGTGAACAATGTAGAAAGCTAAATTATACTTTTATAGGGATTTTGACATGTGAGAAGCTTCTTATGACTAATTCATCTGAAGAAAACGGTCTTAAATGTAACAGTGGTCAAAAGAATGAGTTGCAAAGAACCTGAAAGAAAATAGATAGTCGAAGAGAAGACTATCAAGCTGCCGATCCTTTTATTTGTCTGAGTTTGATGGGCTAGAAATGTCAAACTGGAAAGAAGGCACAGGTTTACATCTGAGCGGGGTTCAGTTAACAGATGGAGTTAAAACACGGATTCAAACAGGCGCTGTGCTGGTGACACACATGATTCATCTCAACCACTTCAACACTGTTTTTTTCCCTAAAATTTCACCCAAACTAAATGATAAGTCTGGTGATATTCAATACTTTTCTTGCCGTTAATAAATCCCATGAAAAGGCCAAAACCAACAATGAGTTGATCCAAACACGGATGTAGCTCATTCCTCTGTGCCATCGAGCTTAAAAACACATCAATGAGACGCTTTTGCACCGGATGTTCCTTCGACGCCACAAACACACACACTGTAGTTTATTTTGACTCAATTTCACATACACAGTGCTGCTGCCGGAAAACACTCACTAGTGCTCCAATGTGTATTAGTCCGCCGCTGAAAATAGTCCCCAACAAATGCACTATTCAACGTATCCTCATACAACAGTTCTTATGATATCTTAACGATGAGGTTGCTCCTCATTTTTCATGCATTTTCCGACGAGAAACTGTTGGTTTAAGTCTTCTAAGATTCGTAAGAGTGTATAGAATAATGCCAGTATTCTTAACAAGACAAAACATAAACATAAAAAATATTTGTACTCTGTGACAGTATGATGAAGTGTAGTATTCAAACCCATAATTCATGTTTTTTTTATGGGAGCACTATTCCATCCATGATCTCTACACTGTGACAAATGTGGTGTCTTTGGAAACTTTGGAATTCCCATTAAAATAAAGTTCCGTGGGTTTGGATGGTGTTTAGCCAAAGACTACTGCTCATTAATTAACACGTTATATCTCCTTCGTTTAATCCGTACAAAAAGAAAACTAAAACTGATGAGTTGTGGCTTTAAAGTGGTTTATGTGACTATTTCTGATTCCCTGCAATTTCTCAAAGACTCTGGGAAGTCACTATTGATTAGTGAGTTTTAGTGGTGCTGGGAAGGTGGATTCTTTTAACCTTTGACCGGAGTCAGTTGTAATTCCAAGCTAAGCTAACTGTCTCCGTGCTCCAGCCTCATATTTAATGGACAGACATGAGAGAGGTGCAACTCTTGGCAAGAAGGCAAATAAGTGTATTTCACATGAATGCCAAACTATTCCGTTAAGAGGTCATAACATCTATTTGGTCCATCACATTAATGATGAAACAGGGTAAGTATGTTGTATGTGCTGTAACAATAATCATCTAAACAAAGTCACACATTTTAAATTCCCATCACGATCCGACCGAACTGTGAGTATCATGTCCCGCGTCAGACAGGTACCAAATTGCTGCACCGCGTGGCTTTGTGGCCCGCCGTTCCCGTCTTGTTCTCCATACAGTGATAACTGCCATAATGAGATTTGCCATTAAGAAAGAAAAGAATGGGGAAAAAAAGGACCCCGGCCATCTGTATAGCTCACCATGGTAAAAGGCTGAATGCTATCACGCCACAATTCAATCGCTGAATTATACCCTCTTTGTGTGCGTAGCGCTGGTGAGTACCTCGCACTATATTCATTTCAAAAAGGCCTCAATTTAATTAGTTCTCATATGTTGAAAAATTCATGAATTTGTCTGCAATTCCCGCTGCCATTGTTGGGAGCGACTTAAGCGCTGGTGTTAAGGCTTTGAGGCAGTTTGGAAGGAAAAATAGCCCCCCACAAAAAAGAAACAACTGTTTATGTAAATAGACACTGCGTGTTTACTTGGTGGAAGAAAGCGAGGGCCCTGAACAGAGTGCTGAGCTTAGCGTGCCTCCGCCAAAGGGGACCTCTCACCATCAACTTCAGTCTTATTAAACTGATTACCAACTCCAGCTAATTAATCAGAGACAGTGCCCTTTCTTGTCATGCGGGGAGGGAGCTCTGCGTGTCTCTCAGAGTTCCTCTCCCACCGCCTCCCCCTCCCATCTGCTCGCCTCTGTTCCCCCTTTCTCCCTTTTCTTTTTCCAGCTTTGATTGAAGTAGGGGAATGGTAATTTTCATGCATCATCTGGGCCGGCAGGATGGGAGGACAAGTAGTAATTACCTTAAACAAACAAGGCCGAGATTGCTCGAGAAGCTACCTCTTTATTCAAGCTCGCGAAATAAGAAAACAGACTGCGAGCAAAATGGTTTCAAAACACATTTTACGGGCCATTTTGCTCGTTGTTTTCGATACGTTTTTCA